TCAAGACTCTTGCACGGGTGTTTTAACGTCTGCAAACACGTAGACAGTGCAAGTGCCCTCTGTGACATTGGGCATGGAACATATTATTGCGGATGCAAAGACCCTTGGACTTGCATTCATGCACACACCTAGGGCATTCGCCACCTTAGAGCACCAGCTCCTTTACGATTAACGCATTGCTCTATCTTGTTGTGAATAATGCAATTCAATTGTACTTTAATTAAATAAATTGCGTGTAAAAATGAAATGATTACAACGCAGGATGATGAGAGATTGAGACTGCTGAGAGGCCTTCATTTAGCAGTGGATGGCTGATGGTGATTAACGCGAGCCTGGTTATACACTAAAGTTTGTTTAAAACCTGCAGATGACTTTTAATAGTGTCGACTCCTAAACAGCGTTCCTTCGTATCGAACGTGCAGGTACAAATGTAAACAAACATTTAGTACAGCCACACATACTGTTAACTACACTGATACATAAACTCCCAACTCCTTTATATAAAAAACGCCAAGTGAAATGCAAACTCACCAAGTGTGTCTGCGGAATTTGTATTACTTTATTGCAAAGCAAAAAAAACAGCCAATCGCTGTCACTCCCTTGTTGCTGGGTGGGCGCAGCGATGAAATGTATTAATCAAATAGCCAGCGCAACCCTCGATATCAGCCACATGTTATTGCAAACAATAACGAAACGTCCACCAAAGGCAGTTAACAAAACATTCTCAGTCCTGTACTCGTGTCAATCGACGGGCAATGCGTGAACAGGTCGCAAACCCATCGCGTCGGGTATATAGTTGTGCGCAAATCCGACGAAAGGGCGGTTGACTGTAAATGTTTAATGACGCACGCGGTGTAGTCACAAGCTAGGGTTGAAAAACCAGCCGCAGCTAGAACTTTCTCAACTCGCGTTTACCGTCACGAAGCGCACCCGGCTCCAAACATTATAATGTACCTGCTACAAGAATAAAAAGTACGGCGGATACTCCCACATTCAATGCATACTCCCACCACTAAAAGAATGCACAAACACCTATTGCATTGATCAAGGGCGTGCCGTTCATATGAATAACCGAACAAGCATCAACGGGTTTAAGACGTGACTTTCTTAAACACATAACTCTTAAACACGTATGCGCATAAAATCCAACCGCGGTGGGCGGGAGATAAGCCTTTGTCGGCGTGGCGGCTCTGCAGGGGGCACGGTGGCTCATCCCGGCGGCAAATCTAGGATAGACGGGCCACATATAAGGCCTGCGACTCGCATCGCGTGCCAAAATACCCCGGCATGAAGAAAAACCCAAGGGCGATACCAACAATTTAATAATCGTTACATTAATAGCAGTTATTATTTTGCTTGTTACTGCTCCGCCCCTGAGGGTTTACTTTCGCAATGATGATCTCTATCGGTATCGGAGCGCGAGAGGGATGAAAAAGAACCATGTGCTCTTGGTGGCTGCCATTTTTCGAACACGCCCATATATGACGTCACTCCGCCCACTGTTTTTTAAGACGCTCCCCGCCCACCCACCGCGCCTAGCCCCGCCTCCTCGCCTAGCCCCGCCTCTACATTTCTAATCCACGCCCCTTTCCATCCACGCCCCGCCCCTTACCCACCCCCCCGTTTACTGGGAAGGGCGACACGTTGGAGCTTGTTAATGAGAGTTCCCAACTTCTCAATTAAACACACACAAAAAAATCTAAATCGATTCAGTTTAAATTCGACGTTTCCCGTGCAACTCCCAAAGATAGCAAATTCAACGTCGCAACGCAGGTCGACAAAGGGCACTTGACAACACAAGCCAGCGAATTTACACGCGCGCACGTGTGTGTGTGTGCAAAGCGCAACGTTGAATTTCCACCTTCGCGAGAGACGTTATACGTTGTTCCGGGGTTGTGTAACCAATTATGGTTTTATATATATATTTTTTAGCCGCAGCTGTTGCCGGGCAGAAAAAGAACTGCATAAATTGGAGCGGTGTGGACAGCGCATCAAATACTGTAAAGTCTTTAATGTGATTTTCGTTGGCAGAAGATAAGAGTGTACGTAAATTATGCACAAATTTGTAAACGCGAACCATGTAAAATATGCACAAATTGTAGGACTTACATATTACTTAACTGTCATACGCGAGTAACTTCACGACTGAAGTTTATGGAATTGAGTGCACAAATATATTGGGCAATGTTTTTTTTATTTAAAACCACGTTTACGGATGTCGAAACTTCACAACTGAAATATACTATGTTTCAAAGTACTACGCATTGAAGCAGACTAAATTATGTTTACTTTAAATTCAGCCATTGACAACACCTTATGCCCTACATTTCTTGATTTACTGCAAAACGGCTGTCTAAAGTCGCTCACCAACCTGCACTGACCAGCGTGGTGAAGTATGGTCAAACAAAGTCCCCCGAACCGCACGGTGTCGGGAGAAGGCCCCCTTTCATCCAGCAGTGGAGACCACAAACATCTGCAGACTACAGGACACGCATTTCACACGTTACACTTCATCGCAGCCATGTTACACGTTCGACAAAAGGCAATCCCGATAAGGCCCCAGAAGGCTTTGTCTCGGCTCGTCAGGCATGACACGTGTATAGGGGGCGCTGTGGCTGGCCATAACACCCAACTTTAGACCACCAGGGCTTCTAACTTTTGAGTTTTTTGTTGTTAACAATCAAAAAGGCAATAAACAGTAACAATGCCAACAGGTCATCCGTCTAATGCACCCCATGCCATTCTATATGTCTATTCACAGTTACGTCCGTATAAGGCACGTGGCGCTATAAGTGTATGGAGAAAATGTAGGCTTTAAATTGAGACAAAGGAAAAAAATTCGGTCGCATTGTTTTAGCTTTTACGATGTGTTAACCGCGGTTGCTTAGCACAAAAGGGCACGACTTAATATGTACCAGATACGATTTCATGTTTGTTGAATTGAGCTAGGTTATATTGTATTGCATTCTTTATTAAAAATGTGTCCTAACTATATTCATGGGAATTGCCACACGACTACAATATGACTCCGGCATTGTTGTATAAATATCGCGTAGGAAATCAAACGAAACATTTCCCCTACGTAAACCGAGCTTTGCCATCGGGGGTCAAATAGTTGGTTGGCTTGAACCGTGACACACAAAAAAAAAACGTCGCTTGTTCGCAAATCGAATTCGCTCCGAATAAAAAATCCCGAGCAGCGATTGAGTCGTTGCACCACAAGGAGATTTACAGACACGTGGCCCTTAGTGGCGGGGGCCATGGGAGGGGAGGGGAAAGGGGGAGGGGAAAGGGGGGGAGGGGGAAAAGGGGGGGGGGGAGGGGGAAAAGGGGGGAGGGGAAAGGGGGAGGGGGAGAAGTTAGGGACCGTAGTCTTTTTTGTTTGTGGCTTCTTCATTCTGAAAGTTACTAAAAGTATGAACCGTTTCTAACTGGCGGTGCAAAAAATACGTGCACAAGTGCAAAGCCACAACAATAAAACATATCCCCGACACACATTCGTCGATGTTTTATAATGTGGTGGGTTTTTTTTGTTTTAACATAAATATTTTAAACAGGCCACGTTTCTTGCAAATAGTCCTTTATGCAATGAAGAAGGGCCATTGTCCGAAACGTCGCACATTATGCTATGATGCGCAACATGTCCACCTTTTGGCATCCTATTGTACAAAGTTAATTATTATTTTGCCAATCAGGATGCAGAAGATTATGTTAAAATAGGAGGAATAGTTTTGTTTTATTTCGATTTTCCCATAAATTATATAAATTAATTTTAACGTAATTAACACAATTATTATTTACGATGTTAACATTTTTACGTGAAGCAGCTTCCAGGGCCAAGTTTAGCCTGATGTGCAGTGTTTTGACTAATTTGCGTGCATTTGTGTTTTTTGTTATATTTTTTCGCGCTGTTGTTCATGTAAATCCCTTGCGAATGAATAAACGTTTAACATTACAAAATTAGGCGTGATAAAAGGGGAATATTCTCATGCATGCTCTCCTAAACGGGTTCTCGTTTTGAGTCAAACAAAAAGAGAGGCGAATACTTTTATAAAGAGCGCAGCTCCCATTGTTAAATACAATCTAACGTTTCCCTAATTGAACAAAAGCTTAAGAGCCTTAAATTATTTGTCAATGCTGCGTTGGCAGTGCTACCTACTATAAAAACAATCATGGCATTATTGCAGTTAATTGTATATACAGTGTAAAATTAGAAGCTAACACTTTATACACGTGAACAATAAACTTACACTTTAGAATTGTACTGTTACTACAAATTAGATTATCCAGTTATATGTATTTGATTGCTGCAGCGTTTGTCTGCTACTGAAGGGCTACTAATAGTTTAACTGTTCATATCCCAATTAATCTAGAAACATTTATGAAAAGTTAATTATCATTAAGCTTCATGTACGTGTCACGAAGACGGGACATTGCCCGAAACGTCGCACATAAAAATTGTTTAGTTTTATTTGAACGTCTTTAAAGTGACTTCCTCACCTTTCCTACACTCTGCCACTCCTGTTGTGTTTTTGACATCGTTTGCTGTTGTAACGTTCTGACACCGCCCCTGCTGGACATGTGAAAAGAAAGAGCTTTATAGCTCATCGGATTCCTCCTGTAAAGATGAATATTCTGATCCCGATTCCTTTGAGGGGTTTACAGACACACACTGTGGCACTGGCGACCCTGTTGAGTTACTTGCGTAAATGTAATGTACTTCCTGCACCAGTGTGTCTATATAATTCAATTAGTTAAACCTGAGCAAGAGAAAGTGGTGAATAATAATAATAATTGACGCGGACTCTAGCTCCGATCTCCACCCTTCTCGCGGTGGTGGGGGCGGAGGTTGACGGTTGGGTGGTGGGTGGCGATGGTGGGTGGTTACTTGTGAACGTCACCTCCTAATATGGGCATGAGGGCGGGGCGTCGGAGGGGGAGGGAAAGAGGGCGTGACCCAGTGCGGTGACGTCACGGGACGACTGCTTATATATACGCAGAGAGGGTGGGGGGGGGGTTTCGCGGCCGTGTTGCGTGAGGCGCTCTGTGAGCTCGGTGCTGTGCGCGCTCACACACGCGGCGCAGTCTTGTCAGTCAATACTCGTTTTCCTTAACCATTGATAATATTAACAATCGTTATATATGTTATTTATTTGTAACCGGCGCACGGCACCAAGGAGAGCACGTAAACACGTCGAAACCTTAAAAATAACAGACTTTTTTTTGGGGGGCGGGGGGGGGGGCGGGATTTTGTTTAACCCAACAAAAGTTATATTTATATATTGCTGCATAATTTATGAATAATACACTTGATAGGAACAGACGCGAAGATTATTGTTATAATAAAGGAACACGTGTGTGGTAAAAGCTGGTAATTATTGCAATTTTTTTTCCGTATTAAATGCAGTTTTTTTAACGGGAATAGCAAACGAAACGTTATACGTAATTAACTAAGAAAAAAAGTTAAAGTAAAATTAGCAATAATATATAAATGTAACGCAAAAGTAAGAGGCAGTGACCGTAACAAAGTAAAACGTGTACAGCAGTAGAGCACCAATACCATTGGCTGCTGCTGCTGTTGTTGGGGGGGAACACGAGCTTAAGAAATTAATAAAGGCCACGAATAAAATAGAAAATAAATTAGAAAATAAACATTAAATTACAAACCAACCATTTTAAGTCGAAGACAATTGCTCAGACTACTCTACATAATTTCATCTTCGTTTAACAAAAAAATAATTCTTAAGAGAACAGGAAGAAGGGGACGAACCACCATCGGTTAACCACCCACCCACCACCATCCCCAACATCTATAAAGTTTGTGAGACTTTAACTTAAACAACTTTTCGGCGACTTGGCCGAGGACGGGAGACGAAGGGCAACAGCAGCAGCAAGAAGCCAGTGAAGGAAGAAGGCCCCCCCCACACACACCAGAAGGAATGGAGCTGATATGCGGCGAGGGAGGACGCATCAAGAGGGCTTACGTGGATGGGCACCTCCTGCAAGACAAGAGGGTGTTGCCCAACTTGCTGAGCGTGGAGGAGAGATACGTGCCCAGGGCGTCATACTTCAAGTGCGTGCAGACCGACATCCAACCCTTCATGCGCAGGATGGTCGCCACGTGGATGCTGGAGGTAGCGTGTGCCAACCAAACATCACTTATCATAAACCACTACCATCATCACCAACATCACTTTTTTTTATAATCATCACTATCACCACCATCATCACTATTATAAGCATCACTATCATCACCAACATCACCAGCATCACTGTCATAATCATCACCAATATCAACCATAACTATCAACATCATCACTATCAAACATCACCAATATCACCAGCTTCACTATCATAATCATCACCAGCATCACTATCATAATTACCAATATCACCATTATAACTATCATCACTATCATAAACATCACCAACATCACCATTATAACTATCATAAACATCACCAATATCACCATAACTATCATCACTATCATAAACATCACCAATATCACCATAATCTCTATCATAATCACCAATATCACCATAATCACTATCACCACCAACCACCGTACTTTCTACTTACCACGCATCTACCATAACCCTACGAACCTCTTACCACACCGCTACTGCCACTACCAACCACCACCAGATTACCAGACAGGGACAACCTTAGCGTCCATTTCGTACACCCATACACAAGCAGTGCCTGCAAGTGCCACCACCACTACCTTCACCCTATACATACCACCATCATCTGCTACTTACTTACTGGAAGCAACTCGTGCACCAGCCCTGCCACTACCACCACCACCACCACCAACTTTGTATTACTCATTGCGCTGTTTACTGTTGTAGAGTACTGTCCGTGTGTGTGTGTGGGGGTACATTTCAGGGTACTGCGTGTGTGTTGACGTGAGTGTGTGTACATATGTTTGTATTGTGCACATTGGCTGCCGGCCATGTGTGTTGCTTGCGAGATTTGTAAACTCTGTGCTTGCGATACTGCAGTCTTCGTTGTGTGATGCACGTGTAAGACTTTGTTCCTGTGCACGTATACATATTTACCGTGATGTGTACTCCATGCTGTGCACACACTAGTTAATGTCCGTATACTGTTGATTTAAGTAACGTTCCATAAAATATGCGTATCGTTAATTGTAAATGTAAACACGTGTTTGCATCTGTATTCGTGATACATTGCTTGTGCATGCTTGTTAATGTATTGCTAGCATTACTATTCGTGCACAGCCTTACTGATACCGCTGTGTGTACATTCGGTAACGGTAAGTAAACGAATGCCTTGAGTTTTAGTGCAAACGCCGTGCATGGGGAGGCTTTCATCCAGCAGGGGCTAGTCCCAGGACACACAGTGTACAGACACAGACGAATGCAGGAAAACACTGCACGGTTTGCAAGGGGGAGTCCACATCTCCATTGAACTCAAAAGGATAATCACCTGGTTAAATACGTGACATCAATCATGCTGACCCCACTGCACGTCTTGCATACGTGCGCGTGGTGTGTATAAAGCATGCACTACTAAATAATACAGCAGGTGGGGCATAATGTATTATATACATCGGCGTTGGTGATCGGCTATCGATTATGTGTGCGTGCAATAATATAACCCCGCCTGTTTTGCAAGTGGTTGTTTACACAGGCGTATACTTGATGGACATTTGCCAGTGCTATGGTGCTGTGTACATTTCGTTGTACGCGTTCCAGTGCCCCATCGATGTACACGCGCGCGTGTACCCGTGCACAACACGTACACAATGTGCACCCACACAGAAACCACAGTCGTACATAGATTCACAACAGTGCGAGAGTACACACAACAGCAGATGTGTGTACACGAATCACCTATGCGTACATTCGAGTCCCAACACACACGGATAACGTCTGTGCGTACACACAATGTATGCATGTGTGTGTGTACACGCACAAATGCATCGTGTACACACACACACGTAGCTGTGTACACGTATACAGCAAGTTGGGCAATTCTTTAAGCTGGGAGGGGAAAAGCAGGCTACGTATTTTATACTGCCAATAAAGGGCGTTTAAAGTTACGGCTTGGAGTTGCTGTAGAGTTGCACTCTCGCTGTGAAACGTTGCTGTTGGGGCTACTTGCTGTTGACTTGGTTGCTGTATCAAACTTGCAAACAGCTTGCTTGACAGCTGGCCTTTTCCGATGCTTGCTCCGTGTAAAAAGTGGTGGTTTTTACTGCTATTGGACTGGAGCGTGCAGTGGTCTAAAATTCCAGTTTTTTTAGTCGCCTTGGTTTCACACGCAACTTTCTGCAGTTTCTAGAAGAGATGGAGTAAATTAATGAAATCCACTCTGCCCACACAAGCCATTATAATCCATGGACTTGCACCCAGGAACTTGTAGAGTTGTAGGTCGGGGTGGTACTTTACGGTAAAGTATGGGTAGTTTTCAGTTGCCTCTTAGGATCGGGCCAGCAGTAGTGTACAAGACTTCATACCAAAGTACTAAGAGCCACTGTTAAACATTTTATTTTGTTAATATTATAATAGGTAGTCTATTCAAATTTACTGAGGCAAGAGCATTTGTGTTAAAATATTGTAACAAATAATATAACATATTTTAAAATCAACCTTTTATTGTTGCTGCGTTTTTTGTGTTACAGTTATCTTTGTGATATGGATGTGTTCATACAACGTAACAGTTCGCATCTGTCAGTGTTATATTGTTTATGTAAGTTGTTGTGGAGGTTGTGGTTGACGACGATGTTGTTGTTGTTCGTGCTGTCGGCTCGAGTCAACTTTTTTGTTAATATTGTGGAAAATTACCGACCGCGCAAAGGGGCCAAGAGAGAGAGAGAGGAGCGGCCTTTGCAAATAAACGAAACCATACACAATGTACCCGAACAACACAACGTCCGAACACCACTACACAACTATATTGACGAGAGAAACAGAAAGTAACTTTACAAAAAAATAACTCGAATAATAATAGCAGCAGTGAAAAACGCGCTCACGTATGCAAGTCGCGCTGCGTGCCAGGATTTTTCACCATCTTGAGCGAGTTTCCCCTGGCTGCGCCTGGCGACTTTGGGTTGCTGAAGTCGCCTCAAAGTTGATTCCATTTCAAGGATCGGCGTGTGGGACCCGGGCTAATGCCGTGTTGAGTATCGAGTCGACTTACAAACCCCCCCCCCCACCCGAACCCCAAATGAAGTCAAGTCGGTTGAGTCAACTCTGGTTGCGTCAACTCGAGTTGAGTCGATATTGCGGTGGATTTTTAGCCAAGCCGTCTCAGGTTGAGCCTGGTTTCTGAAGGAGTCGGTAGACCTTGATTCTTGATGTAGAGTCGCCCTTGCGTTGAAATCGCCAGCTGTTTATCTTTGTATAATGAGTGGAGTGAAGTTGCACGCGGGTTGACCTGATACTGAATCTCACCGTAACGCCCCTCGCCCTCAGTTGAGTCAACTCTGAGCTGTCAGTTTTTTTTTATTTTTAAAACCAAATTCGCGCAATGTCTTGTAACATTTTAATTAGATTTTAACCTAAATAAAGGTGCATCATGGTGGCGCACGGTCTCCTGTGTGCTTTGTAGGGGTATAAAACAAAAAATAAAGTGTAAATATTGTGAGAAAATATATAGGACAGTTTAAAATATAAAATTTGTAAGGACCTTTCCGTTCGTGTTGCAACAAGCCTTATTGCTACCACTGAATTAAGTTGTCATAAAAAAATAGTTTTTTTAGTTGGCAGATGAACCTTTTTTCTTTTGGTCAAGTTGGAGGCAAAATAATTTCAGTAAAAAAAAATAGGGTGACAAGTGGCCCTTTAATAGAGATGTGGAAATTGCCCCTCTCAGTTGGGTGTTTTTTTGTTCGTTTTTGCCTCTGCTACAAAGGTTGCACACTTTGAGTACTGTTTACTTAAAACGTGTTAACCCCCCCCCACCTCAACAAAAAATTCTAATACCTCGCTCACCTTACAAAGGGAAAAAAATATATATGTAACGGGCAGTGTTCCGGGCAACACTAATTTTCAATTTATCACTTAATTAATTTAATGTATTATTTATATTGAAAACAAAATATTTTGTATTTGTTTGGTCGTTACATTTTTTTAGAGGGCAATTAAATTGAGCCTTTTTACCCTGCTAACGTTTTGTGGTAACCCACAAATAATTGTCTGTCATTTCGCCCAAAGAGCAACTTTGTTGCGTGCGACAAAGTTGTCGCTGACGCGCGCTTGAAAAGCGTTCGCCGAAACGACTTGTACGAGCTCGGTATATTAAAAAAAATCGTCGTCGGATCCCGGGCGCGCTCACACACACGGACTGATAGACAGCAGTTCGGAACGAGGGGTGCGAAAGACAGCAACTTGGTGGGTTCGATAGAACCATGCGCACACACCCCCCCCCCCACAGTATCGATTCGGTGCAAAAAATTGCAACGGGCAATTTTATTTATTTTTCAATATTTTTTGAAAAGATTGCGACGTACTAAAAAAAAAAAGGACCACCCCACACACACAAAAAGTCGAGTGGGGGGGTAAGGCTCTCGCCCCACACACACACACCACCAACCCACCAACCCCCCACCCTTTGGTTGGCCCGGTTGTTGCGACTGTGACCTGAATTCATTTCGGAGCGAATGAGTCTCAGGAATGTAGGGGCCGTCTCTTTGCCAGGGACAGCCCCTGTTAGTTACCACCGCTGACCACTCTCTCGTGTCCTCGCTTAACACTGTCGTTTAAATGCATCTTGCAACAACAACAAAAAAACCCAACATTAAATGCCTGAAAATATTTATACATGTTGCATATGTGGTGTGCGTGTAATTTACAGACTTGGTTATCTCACTTGGGGTTTGCAACATCTTGAATTTATACTGCACATGTTAAGTTACACAACGTTATTTATTGTTGTTATGTATTTGCAAAGACAAAAGATCTCCTTTTAACTGGAGTTGCGTGTTTTTTTTACTTTTTGGTGCGCAATATGTCGTAGGTATGTGAAGACCAGAGATGTGAAGAGGAGGTCTTCACCTTGGCAATGAATTATTTGGACCGGTTTTTGGCCGTAATGCCCATGAAAAAAAGCCACCTTCAATTGCTCGGAGCCGCGTGCATGTTCCTGGCTTCCAAGCTTCGAGAAACGATCCCCCTGACCGCCGAAAAGCTGTGCATCTACACGGACAACTCCATCAGACCCCAAGAGCTGCTGGTGATGAGAACTTTGCCTTCCATAACTTACCCCCCCCTTCCTTCTTTGCTGGCCCCCGATTTAAACCCAACGACACAAAGCGTCTTTTCTTTTCCCCTTTTCCCTGCTTCACACTGCGTGCTCTGTTACTAATTTTCTACAGCCATAAAACCTAATTCTTCCATTTAGTGAACGCGAGCTTGTAATGATTTCGCTATGTTAAAATGTTAGCCGTTGGAACTTGGAAGAAATTATTTGAAAATGCCATTTCCGACGTCCTCGCACAGTTCTGTGGGCTCTTCCTCGCAAATAATAATTTGTAAAAAATCGGCCGTTTCGAGGAACGCTTTGCAAACAACACGGCGCAATAAAGCACAACCGTAGGCCTGTAATTGTGTAAAAATTGGAACGTATCGGATGAAACGTAATTTTACAGTAATTTATTTAGCTCTTGGAAGTTTCTGTTGCTACCCAAAACTTGCAGCCGCCCGCTGCAGGAACTTAAGGTGAATAGCAAATTCTGAGCGCCCTCTTGTGGACACGCACGGTTAACAGTCAAATTATCTTCAACGAAACTAAATAAAAAAACTCAACTTGGGAAGTCATGACGGCTGACGTGCATTTAATCTACAAAATACCGCTTGATCCGATTTTTTTTTAACCTAGCCATTGTCCTTGTGGCTTCTGTTATCCTGAGAACATCTTACAACTAAAGACGTGAAGCCGCCAGAATGCTCGCTTGCCCCTGGCGGCGTTCGTTGCTACAATTCTGCCCCCTAACGGTTACCGCCTCGGCGAGAGAGTGAGAGAGAAGGAGGCTAGCGCTATGGGGTGTTGTGGGGCGCGCTTCAGGGGGGCACCGGATTAAACATCGCAGATCGCGCGTCGCCAGTCCCACCTGTAACGCCGTGGGCTTTTTGGTTCTTCCACGTCTGGCAGGACATGGAACTACTGGTGCTGTGCCGGCTAAAATGGGACCTGGCTGCCGTAACGCCGCACGACTTTTTGGAGCACATACTCAGCAAGTTGCCCATACCAGCCGAGAAGCTTCAGCTCATCCGCAAACACACGCAGACCTTCATTGCTCTCTGTGCCACCGGTATGCAGAAATATTTACCTTGAGCGTACTATAAATATGTGGTTCTTGTGCTTTTGCGTCACCGCTTACAGTCCAACCTTGGGGGGGGGGGGGGGGGGGGGTTTCCTGTGAAGGTGGAGAAGAGGGGTCGGACTAATCATTGTGGTCTGTTAGTCATATGACTGCATGCCACTGGCAAAGCAGTTTTTTTGTTAAGTGTTTTTTCCACGGGTAATTTTAAAAAATATATGCATGCTTGTAAAGTGATGGCACTGTTGGTATGGTGGGCACACCAAGAGTTGCCATGATCCTGCACTTTCTTATAACGAAGCTGCAGAAAAACGATTATTCGTTTAGTTATTATTACTACGTTTATATTTACCCAGGAAAGCCTTGCCGAATCTCATGACTTTTTCAAGAGGGTCATGCTAAGTTTTTTTGCCAAGTAGGAGGTCGATGATTGCTCTGTATATTCCAATTTAATTTCCAGGTATTTTTTCAAATTTGGCACATTTAATTTCTATTCGCGCAAATGACGGTGTCGCAACGTTTACGTCCACTGCGAAGCTTTTTTTTATTTAATACGCACACAGCGATAACCAGGACGGGCCACTTGATTTGAACCTCAAACCTCTGCAAAAAGAGGTGAACGCGCTCCCGCCGGGGCACTTCACCACCGCCCGAGTGTGGTGACATGGCCTAGCGGCAGCGAATACTGTTGTTACATGTTATCGCACACAGCAATCCCTGCCTCTTTACCCCATTAATAGCGCCCTAAACAGGCGCTCAATGTGTACGTACAAGCTTCAATGCATACCGCACCTTTAAGATTGTGTTGGGTGCAAACATTGTGAAATGGAGAAATGTTGTCATTTCTTTTACGGAAATAGCCAAACCAAAACCCATCTGATAAGTTTTCTTGCTCAAGCCATTTTTTTAACACGTACTGTGCCATATAGCGCATAGCACTTTGACGTGTGGTTTTGTGAGGCAGGGTGTGCAAGAAATAAAAAAACGAGTTTTACAAAGGCAGCTGGTATGTGATGATGGCATGTGGAAATGCGGTTTAAAGGATGCTGATGATGATTCATTGTGGGACAAAATTGTTTGCAGTCCCGTAAGCCATTTTGGACCGTGGCGAAGGATATGTGGCCACTTTTCAGGAAATTGGGCCTCGCGTTTTTGCCCGGCGCAAGCGTTAAATATGCGCCGCCTTGCTTAATCCGCATCTCCCCCTGGCGCTATCGGTGTTGAGGGGGGGAACTTTTTTCGGTGGAGAGGGAAAGCAGCAGTGGCATGGCGGGGGGGGGAGGCTTTTGCAGTTTCATACATAAATTGCCTGAAAATAATGTGTGCCTTTGAGAGGGCCCTGCCTGTGTTTGGCGGCCAGCCCACTCTCATTCTACGCGTCTGTGTGTGTGTGGCCTTGGGGTGTGCTGTGATTGAGTGGCGCTACCTAGTGGTAGTAATTGCGACTTGCCCTGTATTGCAACAGCTTGTGACTTGCGTACGCCACTCACAAGCTGCATTGAGACTTAAGTTTTAACAGTTGTCATTGGTATGCACCGCAGTGTAAATGTTCTTATAAAGCAAATGCATCCTTTTCATTCGGTGGGGTTTAACATGCATGCAGCTTATATGTGTATTTTAAGCTTTGTTATGTTGTAAGATAAAAAAAACAGGCATGACATTTCAAATCCAATGCAATTAATATTAGCAATTCTTCAGTGTTGAGCATATTAAGTTGATTACAAATATTCAAATAAGTTACAGCCATTCTCAATCAACCAGTAGATGATGGCTTCCCCCATGCCGTGTCAGTCGTGGGGTTATTTTTACCATGCTTCACCAAGCTGCTCAGTAGGTTGGTGGATGGGTCGTGGGAGGCAGGACCGATTCTGATACTGAGGTTTGCCATGGGTTTGCCGGTGTTTATGGCACACGACGCCAACCAGTACCACCGCCCCGCACTTATTGAGATGTGTAAATCGCTTTGGCTTTTTAGTATGCTCATTGAGCTGTCTGATGGGAGACATTGCCGCACACCGTAATCATCCCATCCCATTTGAGGGGCGCTTCGACGTGCAGCATAGCTCCTCTTGCAACTGGCACTTTTCACATGGCCGGCCATGAGCTGACCGATTGATCGCTCTTACAAAACAAAAATGTCCAGTCAAAACGGCACATGCAGTCACTATGTGCATGACGGAATGAAGCCGTAAATGAAACAGCTTTTATTGTTTATCTCTCTGCTTTATTTATATTCAATGCTGCTGCCGTCTTGGCAACTGCACGTACAAAAAAAGCTGAACAAAAATGTGTGGCCATTTTAATATTATAAACAAATGTCTGTATTTGAATCCAATTTTGTTTATTAGATAATAGCATATTCCCGACCAAATCATTACGTCGGTGTGTATTCTTTTAAAGTGAAAAGCAGATGAAGGAAGCCCGAACAAGGATGTGCCACGAGTTAAGTTATCCATAAAAACCCACGGTAACGAGCGCCTACAGACTACTCCGAACGGATGGACTTGACCGTGCTGAGTGCGACAGATATGCATGATGTCCGTTCTGGGGGGAGGGGGGGGGTTGACTTTGCCTACAGTTGTTCTTGATGCCGTTCATACGAACCTATTCCCAATACGATGAAGCTTCTTCAGCAACTCCCTATGCATCATCCCGCTGTATTAATCTACACGGAAACAAATGCAGTTGACGTTTCCGCAAAGGAAGTGTACGTGCTTTTGCCGGGCCTCTTGCCCAAATTTACACGCGCTTGTGTTAAAATGAAAAAGAAACGCCTTCGAATTGCAATACACCATTTAAGAAAAGAATTAGACCTTAAAATAGCCGGTTAGGCATTATATAACGTTACTGTACAGTAACATGCACATGTTTTACTCAACTAATGTAGACATGTTCCTAAACAGCGAATAACCTTAACTATGTCTTATATTCTTGGTTCTTTCGGTAAAGTCATGTAGAAGGGAAACAATACGTGACTTTACCGAAAGAACCAAGAATATGAATCCCTGCAGTCACGAAAGCTTTAAATCAAAATTTACGTCTTCATATTTACATGAAAGTAGACATGAATCAAAGAAATAAACAATTTCTGAAAGCAAAAACACCGTTTGAAATCTACAGGCGCCCAAACCTTAGGTCGCAGTTTTAATTATTCAATACTGCACCTTTATTTGTTCATCTTACATTATTTAACGTAGGGCGTAATTCACGTGAACTGCATCAATTCTTTGAGGATTTTAAACATTTATGATGACCACGACCCATGGCATTTTTTGTTAATTATGCGATTGCACATTTCATCAATTGCATGTTATCCTGCTGCTCTGCATTTTCTATGCAACAAAAAGGCGGGTTGCAGGTGCGATACTTTATTCTTTACAGCCAGTCCATTTGCGCATAAATGGCGAGGGTGGTGGGGGGTGGCTTTGTGCATGCGAAAAAGCATTTAGAACCAATTTCTCCCTGTTTTTAGCTGCAGTATCTGATGGGAACTCTTGCAATTCCCTTTCACGTATAACCAGTAACACATTCGAGACTCCTTTTGACAGGGTTGAGAAGCACAATACAATGCCAACCTTGAAGGGAAAGTCCTAAACCGTTAAAAGCTTACTATATTGCACTTGTATTGGTGATTATTTACAATGGGCCCTCAGTCCTTGTTTAAATGATCAGTGGGATGTGGAACTGTTAATCCACGGTGGCTGCTGGTGACAGGCAAAGTTCACGGTGGCAATTTACCATTGGTAACGTCACAAAAAATACCTCTGGACAGCTGTGTTGTGCTAGTTTCTAAAACAATGGTGCTTAGTGTGCGACCCCAACGGCTTTTGTGTGTTTGCATTTTTTTGTCTGTGCGCCCTATATAGAGGCGTGAAGTGCAAAGAGCGGTTTTCTTTCCCCGCGCACTGCAGTTTTCAAACATGTTCCCCACGCGTTCTAAATTCAATCCGCGCGCATTTAAATTTAATCCGTGATATTTTCTGAGCCTTCGTTGGAGCCTGCTAATAACCGTGAATTAATTGCCCCGTGATATTTTGTCAATTCTGTTTACAACCAAAAATTGCACTGGGACAAACCCGCTTCAATTAATTTATTTTTCTCTCTCCCGACTTGTGTCTGCAAACGGTTGCCGTGTTAGGAGTTGGAATGAGTAGGGGGACGGCCTTTCTGCTGCGTATAATGCAACCCAAAGAGCCGTTGTGTAATTGTATGATCATTGCACATTTTGGGTGGCCTCAATCGAAAGACTGGGGGCTCTGAAGGTTACGCCGTAGGCGCGCCAACCTCGGCTAAAATAAATCAGCGTGGCCGTGTTATTTATATATTCACGTACTCGTTTTTTTTTTAAATATTGTTCATTTCGTAAATTTACGAGTTTCATATGTGCGCGATGAAAAGATAAGGCAAGGGAATTTGTAGCCTGGAGAAACATTGTTTCAGATTTGGCGGAAACTTCCTGAAAGTCAAAAGTTTCTTTTCTTAAAATTACTGAAGACCCCCCCCCCCCCACATAATTGATTTGGCATGTGAATACCACCATTAAAACAAAAGGGACTTTATTTTGTTCTACATAAAACTGCGGGCAATCTCCTTTTCATGTTTGCAAGCCAATGAGGTCAAATCCTTTGAAACGTCAATTCTGTCCGCTGCTTTCTCCGGCACTTTTTTTTCCCAAGTCAAATCGTTTTAAAAAAATTTAACGCTCGGTTAAAGCTGATACCATGTGGCCATGATCTCATGCCATGTACACGTGTATGCCTTCCAGTGTGCAAAGTCATTTCAGTTGAAAACGGGGCTTTCTTACTCGCTGGCCTTCCGTTGACTGTTTAACCATTTGGAACCGGTTTTTGTTACAGCCTTAGCGGTGCGTATTTATTTAAAATCCAGTGTACAGTGCGTGCTGTATTTTAAAATACATTTTTACACTGCTGGATGAAGGCCTCTTCCCCCCCCCCCCCCCCGTGCCATGTCAGACATTTGGTGGCTGTTTGCTCACACGTCAACACCGCTGGGCAGTGTGTGGGTTGGTGAAAGGGGGGAGAGAGAGAGAGAGAGACAGGCCATCCAGAACACTGTGCGGATAACACTCGCCACTGAGGGTAGCCTTAGACGGATTCAAAACTCGGTGCGCCGACTACTGCGCCACCACACCACCCTTTCTTGTGAAAGTGACAGCATTTTAGGTGGGTTGCAACCTTTTGGATATCATAGTCATAAAGCTTGGTTCGCCCTCTGCTCGAACGAGTGTTGTGAGGTGATTCATCCCTATCGGCGAGCTTTATTCAGCGGTACACGCTCTCCACATTCTTATGGCAGGGACCATTCTATTATCACGACCGCTATCAGCTCTTTCGCTAGGTGGCGCTGATTCATTGTTTGCTATTTGTGAGTACAGCACTCTGCCCACATCGCCACCTGGCAGGACAATTCGACACCACGATTTTAGACACACGTAAGCAACAGAAATGTACGTAGAAATATTTAAAAAAAATGTATTTGCAATACTGATTGCCGTCAAGTAGAGTGGCAGCACATTGGTTAGCACACTGCACTATGAACAAACGTGTTTCCCGAGTTTGATTCCCATCCGTGGGCTAACATCGGCGGCAAGTGATGCTAAACCGGTCCCTGATGACCTTTCACCATTGTATTGACAAAAGGGTTGAACAGTAAAGTTATTCAATGATATTGTTAGCGTGTGTGTGAGGCGCTGGCTATTACCTGATTTCCCATGGGTTGAGTGTCGCAACAAATGTGTTTCACCGCATCCATCCAATCTCCGCGGCTTGTCCCGTTTTCAAAATAATAAACTCCAACCCCACCGAGGAACGTGTAAATATTTGTCAATTTGGTGCCACCCCAGATGTACAAATTTAAACATAGATTCCTCGGTTCTGTTATTTTTTTCAATATTTATTTTGCGTCTCTATTGTTGAAAATTAAATTTTCCGTTTGTGGCTCATTCTCATCTCATTCCTGAATGGATCTCTCCCTAGCGACAGCTGGCCGATCAGCAGCCCGATCTCTCCCTAGCAACAGCTGGGTTTTTACGTAGCACTTGTAGCTGCTATGTGTTGCGTAGTGTGAATTGATGCGCTGCGTGTGTGTGTGTACATACGTTAGGTATAAAGTGAGCGGCTGGAAAAATGTATTATAAAATGAGCGCCATCCAAATGTCATAACCAATTAGGTTGTAGCGACTTTGCCGTTCTCTTAGAAAAGCGCAAACTCGCTTCAGCATCTCGCTCGCGTGACATTTGGGCAATGTTGGGTTGTTGTTGCCGCCAGCGTTTGCATGGTAATGCCTCGGAGAGAGCAGAGTGAAAAGTGTGGTTGTTTGAGCGACAGATTTACTTTGCGTTCGTCATTTCGCTCTGCGCGATGATGATGTTTTGGAAATTGGGCTTGCTCTGGCAATTTGTACTCCCCCCCCCCCCCAACCTTAAGATGGAAAATACATTTATATACGTGTTTGCGGTTTTAGCTGAACAGGCGGATGAATTGTGCGTAAAATAAGCTTGCCACGTTTAACCTAAAATGTCCAAAAAACCAATACAGGAAAAAGAACAAAAACAAGTGATGTCAGTGCTGCAGAGTCTAAACCATTTTGCAATTCCTCAGTCCACTCCTTGGCATTTTTTAACACCCGATGGTATAGATTTACACTTTACATAACCTGTGGATACGCACTGTAGTTTTTTCCCCTCTTTGTTTTTGCGACCAGAGTTGTGGCCGCCGCCGCCGCCGATCTTTGAACGCTTTTGCAGCGTAAAGGTCGGTCAAACATTGCGTTTGCATTAACCCCGGTGGCGCAGTGCCCCTGTCCATCCACGAGCTTTCGCTTTTTCAGGGTCGGTTTGCTTTCCGGGGGGGGGATGGTGAAGTATGATGGTGTGGTGGAGCCAGGGAGAGGGTGGGGGGGGGAGATAAGCCATCCCCTAGGTGGCGCAGGAGACTAACCTGTGCACGTGTTGTGCGCCCTCTGGGCGTGGGCTTCCATTGCGTGCGCGTGCAGACTTCAAGTTCGCCATGTACCCGCCCTCCATGATCGCCACGGGCAGCGTGGGGGCGGCCGTACAGGGCTTGCGGCTCGACCGGCTGGACGAGCGCCTGTCGTTTTCCTCGCTCACCGACACCCTCGCCAAGATCACCAACAGCGACGCGGTGAGCCAAGCCACCACGTCCACCCAACACCCCCCCCCCAAACGGAGCGTTCGCGTTAATTGCGGTGCGTTCCCGTCAGCCGACAACAATTAGTTGTCGGATGGTACACCGAGTTGGTCGGCACAACGTCCAGTTGCTTTGCTCCCAAGCACGTGGAGTTCCTGACGAAGCACTCCCCAGCGCGTCGAGCGAAGCGTCGGACGCCGTGCCGAATGACTTGCAGTGAAGGCCGCGAAAACGCTTTGCGGCTATGCCTGTGCATTCGCAAAACCCTACGCAGCAGATTCCTTACCGTGGTGGCTGGACACTCTCGAGCTTTAAATTTAATTTGTGTACTGACGGCAAAACACCGGTGTTGGCTTGCATAATGGTTTCCGCCTATTTATGGTTTTGGACGCCCGTTAGGAAAGCCCCTCGCGGTTTTCCAGTTATCACTTTGCTGCCTGTAAAGGTGTGGGATCGTGTGCCTAGCAACCACCAGCATATACGAGGGTGGCGATACGCCTGTTGGAAAAATACAAGCGGAAATAATTTACGCGCTGGTCAAAGTTTCGTGGCATCAAGTATTTGATGATCCGTCCGCCTTGCGTTTTCAACGGCTTCGCACGCGCATCTGTTGGGAACGACGTCGGCAAAGGAAGGTGAACGTGGTGCTGGCTTTAACGGAGGAATCGGCGCGATACGGGCCGAGCGCTGCAGGGGGGGGGAGCGCCTGTCCACGGCAACAAAAAAAAAACCAAAACAAAACGGACACGCGCCAAAATAAGTCCCCGTTGTAGCGTTGTCAAACATTGCTTTTAATTACGGAATCGCAATTTGTAATCCGTTGCAGAAAAACCATGCGTGGCCCATCGGTCAAAAGTCTGCTGTGCACAACATAAATTAAAACTAGCCTTTGCACAGCTAAACAAAAACAAAGCGGCTATTTTTTTGCAGACTTCACATTATATTTTTTATTTTGGTGGCGGGGGGGGGGGGAGGTGGTTAGGGCAAGGAATTGGGGGGGGGGGGGGTGGGGGAGCAGCAGTAGTGAAGTGCTTCTCGTTTTTTCTTACTTCTCCTTTTCCTTTTGCCCCCCCCCTCACCCCCCCCATCTTAAACCCCCTCCCGTTCGCCCCTCCCCCCCCCCATTGGTTTACTTGGAGCAGCAGCGGTGCACGAATGTTCCCCGTTAAAACTCCCCGTTTCTGTGAGCACGAGTAACAATCCTTGCCATTTGGTGGGGGGGGGGGGGGGTGTGGGGGTGGTGAGGGAGGGGGGGGCGGCGGGCCACCAAAAAGCTGGCTTGAATTTAAACTTCCCCCCCCCCCCGTTGTTGCCGGCCACTTGGACTCCCGCGGCATTTGGAAGAGTTTTTCCTATTACGGGGGGGGGGGGGGGCAACAGGCTCCGGCGGGGGGAAGAATTATGCCTCGTGAAGCGTCGCTTTTGTTGCGGAGGACCCTCGCCCCCCCCCCCCCCCCCCCGGGGACTTTTAGCAGCCGCAGGGACGGCTGCTGGCTCGGTGGTGACCGCCCGCGTGATAGCGCCCGCCCATGTCCGTCCATCCCCCCCCCCCCCTTTTTGTTTGTTATGCACACACGCGCGCACGTACGCACTTACAAAACAGCTGCATAATCCGAGTCGCCCCGTGGTCCCCCTCTGCCCATGTGGTCGGCTACGCACGCTCGTCTGCCTGCCGGGGCCGCTCTGCCTCTGCCGCCGCCGCTGGTCCGCGTTAATGGTTTTATCCTGAGAACAGCGAAAAAAATTGTGGTAAAGGGCTGCCTGGTGGGAGGGGGGGGGGGTGTGGGCCGGTGGTGATGGGGGGGGGGCACTGGTGGGTGGAGGGGGAGTTTGGGGGGGCGAGGGCAGAGTTGGGAGAGAGGAATGAGAGATTTGGTTTAAGGCCGTGACATCAAAGCGAGCCAGCCCAGGCCAGGCCATGGGAGGGAGATAAGAGACAAGTCCCTGTTGAATTTGCTAAGCCGCGCAAGCCGGGGCCGTGCTCTTGTGTGGCTTTAGCCCCTAATTCCACGCCCCCCCCACCCCTGCGCCCCCCCTCCGCCCCACCTCCCAGTTCCGCAGGGCCTCTGTTTGGCCCTGCAACAAGATAGCCTTGTTGAAACTGCCTGGTGGGTCCCATGTGTCAGGAGAGAGAGAGAGAACTCGAGCGGCCTGTTTACTGATTGGCCTGATAAAACACGACGGCGTGCCTATTTCAGGTGATTAATGAGAGGCTGTGCTACGATTAGAATCTTGGGAGGTGGCAAAACCATCATCTCCTTCTGCCTTCCAGTCCCTGGCCCGCAATCCTGCAAAATCCATCTCCCCTCTCTGCCCTCTGCCCGGCCTCTCCCTCTCTCCAGTCCTCCTCTAGCCCCTCCGCAGTGTAGAATTCCTTCGTGGGTTTTCCTTTTTTCATGCGTGCTCGTGTGTGTTCGCTTGCCTGCTGAAGGCAAGAGAGGGGGGAGGGGATATGGTGTAGAATTGGGGACTGGGTTTGGAGGGGCGGAGTGTGGGTGGGGGGGCACAGCGACCGGGAGTTGACATCTCCAGGCAACGGGAAACACTTCCAAATATAGCCGCTCCCGGCCAGTGGAAGTGGTGTTTATACCGCCCTCTTCCCCCACCACCTCCCACCGCCCCCCCCCCCCCCCCGCTTTGGACACAGCCTCCCCCCCTTGGACACAGCCTCCTACCCCCCTAAAGGAGGCCCCAATGAGCTGTGTTCTGTCAGTGGGGCCCCTTTTCTAGAGTAATGGAGCCATCTGCTGGCGTCTTTGTGCCATGCAAGCGGGGCACACACCCGAGCCCTTCCAGCACTTGTTTTTTTTTGCACGCTGTTAAAGCCAACTCGCGTAGTGATCACTGCAAATCCCAAGTGCCCCCAAATGCTGCTATTGGTGGCTGTGCGTGCACACTGCCCTCCCTACTGTGTATTCGATGCAGCTTCTGCAGACGCGGGTAGATTTGGTCAATGCGGTTGTTTTGTTGCACCAAACGGCTTGCGGTCTGGTTCCGATTGAACTTGTACAGCCATGTTTTTCCCACTCCACCACTGGTTGAGGGCCTCTCCCCATGTTGGCATTGCGTATTGGGGATTATTCGACCATACTTCACCGTGCAGGTCTGTGAAGCACGGGGAGCCAAAACCTAAGTAGGATGGATTGGCAATTTACAAGTGCACGGTGCATTTGGACACGTTTTGTCGTTATCAATAACCCTTATTTTAGAATGGGTGGCAAATGCACAAACCAGTTATGCCACCCACCACCGCTGTCCCTGGGGCCTGCATTATACACGTGGGTGGCGTTATGATGCCGGAGAAATGTGTGTGGTGGGGAGGGGGCTTGAGCGAACGTAGCATTCGTGTTTATTAAACCTCTGGACCACTCCGTGGAAAAAAACCAAAACGAGGCCCTCTGCAAGTCCTCTTCCCCCCCCCCCCCCCTCGGTCTTCCCCTTTGCGGTCCACGTCGAGTCGATAAAAGTATCGCACGCTTGCTTAAAGCGTGCGCGCGCCCCCGTTGTCCCGGTGGAAAATAAAAAGAGAGAGGGGACCGGCGGAGATTCCCCGATTCCCCCCCCTCCCTTGCTCGTACACTTCAATAGCGCATTTGAAAAACCTGGTCTTTTGAGGTTTTTATCAATGAGTGTAGTTAAGCCGAGGAATTTAGCCCTTTTATTGGCACCAGCGGTCGCACCATTGTTATTTCTGGCCCCGTGCCCAGTGGGAAGGGGTGTTCAGGGGTGTTCGCTGTCAAGAGAGAGGGGTGGTTAGGACCCAAACTTGTCTCCCCGCTGCACAAGCGAGCTGGGGTGGCTGGGGTAGTCGTGGGGTGGTTGGGGGGGAGGGGGCACGCGGGGGGGGGGGTGGAGTCCCTCAGACAAGGCTTTGTTTGGCTCCAATTTCCTGCAGGCCCTTTGATCTTGGTCTTCTGGATTCCTGGCCTAAATGACTAGCCCGCCTTGGGCAAGACTTACCCCGGCCATTCAAGCTTCCCTTGCACACCACTTCCCCCCCCCCCCTGCGCTTTTCCCCATCATCCACCCCACTTCACCACAACCCCCCACCACCACCATAGCCACCACCACCATTACCTCCCCCCAGGCCTCGAGCTCGCGAGCCACGTTCTTGCTGCTGCTGTAACACGAGTCGCCTCATTAAAGAACACTTCCCTTTTTGCTTGAAGGAGCGCGGCGCGTGTGCGTGCGTGCCTCACTGTTGGGGGAGCAGTGGTGTAGCGGTCAGCGCGCCGCGCTACGAACCTGGCGTCCCGAGTTTGATTCCTGCTCACGGCCAACACCAGTGACGAATTTCTGCAAACCCGTCCTGGGCCTCCCCTAGGTCGACTCTGCCTCAAATGAGTACCAGTTGCGATGTGTAAAACATCGCCGCTGGGGGAGACGGAAGGCAGCCGGGCGTGGTGTTGACCACCCCCTCCCTCGTGTGCCGTGCCAGCCTTCATAGGTGCTACTCGCTATTAGCACTTGCGCCCCCAACTGTCTTGTTAAGGCTACACGGGGGATCTTTGTCTTTGTGTGCATGCCTCTCACTGTGATTCCTTCGTGCTGGGAACGCCCGGCATAAGTCCCGCGGAAAATTGTACAAATGATGCAACTGACGCGTTATGTAACTTGCGCGGGTAACAATGGTGGTGATGAAATGGGTAGGAAAGTTAAATGCGAAAAAAATACTGTAAAGAAATGGCAACTCGTCTGGATGTCGGCCACGCTCTCTCTGCCTTTGGGAGCAATTTCGTAATAAATGCATCATTTTTACACGGGGGTGCACAAAAAGCCATTCATTTACGTGAACAAAATCCATTTGGATTGCATTTGCGCAATTACACTTCAACCCCCCCCCCCCCTCTCTCCCCTCCGCGCCCCCAAAACGGCTTTCTCATTTGTGCCTGCGCCACAATGGGATTTTTTGTTCTGCTCGAGGATTCGTGCGAAATTTGTGTTTATTTTAATACCTGTCTTCATTTGGAAGTGTAAATCATTTATAGTTCTGTTTTACATTGGCCCTCGCGTGGTGTTCTTTTTTTTTTACCATTGAAATAATGTTAATGCCGACCAGAGCGAGTACTGGCAACGCCAATAACAACAATGCGTTTTCCTACAGCGGTGCAGAATTGTGGTTAATCCAGCGTGTTTGTTTCACGAGTAGTATTTGTTTGCCTTTTATGCGCACCAAATGTGCGGTTGTGCGCGGGCTGTTATTTTGGCTTGCCCATCCCTGCCGCACTGTCCGCTCCAGAACCGCCGCGCATCCTGATGGCTCGAGATAACGGTTGCTTCTGCAGAATTCTTACTTTGGGGGCTGTTGAAATTCACGGAAGAGTGCGCGCGCTATCATGCGTCTTTTGGTGGGAAAACTGTCAACGTTTTTTGGATATTAATTTGGTTGCAACTGCCCAGTCAACTCCATCTTTGTATGAATTTAGGCCTTCATGCCAGAGTCTATATAAATGAATTAACATTCTCACCTACCCCTACTATAGCTCATCGGATTCCTTCAGAATAAATAAATATTCTGATTCAGATTTTTGTTTTTATTGTGACTTTGGTAGCATAACAATAGTTTTTCAAAGCTTGGTGGTGATAAGCTTACGTTTATTATTTGTCACTGCCGGGCAACAAAGGTGTACTGTTTTAAACAGAAGTAAGTCGTTCCACAAATTCCCTCAAGTGCTCGGTTCGCGTTTAAAGACTAGATTCGCTCCTTGTCGTGGCTGTGCCGGTGGTTTAGAACCTCGTCACGGAGAGTAAAAAAAAAATAATCCGTGGTGTTGGTGGGGCGACTGAAATGTTTACGGTTCATGTAGGCCTCTCTTTACCCAACAGCCGCCTAATTTCATCCTCCAGCTTGAAGGGAGAAAAAAAACCCGAAACTTTCCACAATAGATGCTGCTTTTTATGGGGTCATCATTACTACATAGCCCTGCTTACACCCGCCCCCCATGCCACAATAGTGCCGCCTCAGGCCCAGTATTAGAGAACAGGCCTCCACACTTGCTGGGGGGCGTCTCCATAAAAGTGATGGGCACCGTTAAACTTGCTCATTCACGTTAAAGCGTTAACCCTGCTTCAAGTGAGTGCACGGTGGTTGGTTCTATTCCCCATAGGGAGGGGAGGGGAGCCTTTAGCCACGGGTGGAAATTACACATTCCTCTGGTGATTTGCCAAGGAGGGAGCACTGTTGACTTGCATTTGGCGTTAATCATTAATCAGCCGTGGTGATGATCGATGCCTTTGACACTTGACAGCTGCGCCGATGATGATGATGATGTTGGTGGTGGTGGTGACGATGGGTAAAAATGATGACCGCGCTGCTGATGGTGGCGATGATGGCCGGGGGTGCTAATCCCTCTCGTCCCCCTGCAGGACTGCCTTCGGGCCTGCCAGGAGCAGATCGAGGGCGTTCTCGAGGCGAGCCTCCGGCAGGCTCAGCAGGGCTCCCCGGAGTCGCGCGGCGTGGACGAGCTCGATATCGCCGGCACCCCCACGGACGTGCGAGATGTCGCACTCTGACCGCACCCGGTGGTTTGTGGCGCGGGGGGGGTGGGGGGGAGGCGTTCGACTCGACCCCTCCTGACGATGATCCTCCCGGCGAAAACGAAAAACCAGGAGAGAAGAAACTCAACGCCGCTACCGCCCCTTGTGCTCGCCCGACACGCTGCTTGATAGCGGCGTCGCAAGGGGCCGGGGGTGGAGAGCTGCTGTGCTTCGGTTTTGTCCACACTGCCTGCTGCTGCTGCTGCTGCCGCCGCCACCGCTGCCCGATTGAAACCGCACAGCCCCACGATGGGAGGGGTGCCGTGGTGGGGTGGGTGGGGGGCCCGGGGCCGCCTTCGTCCGAGCCAGCATCACTGCCCTTGAAGTCACCTTTTGGACGAATTGAAGCTGTTCCAGGTTGTGGCACGTTACGTTTTAATTTTTTTCCCTCTCCCCATCTCCTCTCCCCATCTCCTCCACCATCACAACCCCCCCTGCCACACCCTCACCATTTTCTCTTTTAACGTCCACTTCCCTTGCCATTCTCACGTCCAGTTTCACTTTGGTCTGGTTGGCACCGTAATGTTTCCATTAAAGAGTTTTTACCCCCCCCCCCCCCCTTTTGCCTTGAACTCCTGCAAGAAAACGAATATGAAATGGTGGACGGCAGGAAGAGAAAGACATTTACGCGAAGACAAGTTGAATTGTTTATTATTTTTGTTTCATGTCTACCAGGCCGAATTTTTGCCCTTGTTTGTTAGCTTGCGACTGAATTTCGTTCGATGGTCATTGTGTTGGACTGAGAGAGACCGTAAGTTAAAAGATGAATTTCTAAGCAGCGATGTCTGCGTGTACGCGTGTGTCCCTGGGGTTGAGCGGCTGAAAGGTTGTGTTAGCACCAATGACAAAAAAACCCTTGATTGTGATTTTTCTTGTCTTTTTTTCGTGAAAAGAAATTTAAAGTAAAGATGACCTGCCCCCCTCTATTTTTATAATGAACGCGTGCGATGTGGTCTGTGTTGTTGCCCTATCGTTGGTGCCCGGGAAGACGGCTAGCTAAGCAACGTTTACACCTTAATTGAGTAGACAAGAACTGTCACAACAGAGAGGAGTGTACAATATGTATAAAGAGCAGCTTTTAAGAGACGTAGGATGCCGAGAAGTGCGGAGAAAGTGATTGTAGGTAAGTTGCGATGTTAAAGGATGTAGGTAAAGTAGACTAGAGTTTTGCAGACTGGAAGGTTTTTGAGGGTCAGACGAATAGTTTTGTTTTGAAGTGGCCATTCTTTTCACGTTTAAATTATCAGTTAATGTTTTTTTATCCTTTTGTACTTGCTTGGAAGGTTCAAATAATGGTTTAAATTTGGGCCAATACTTTTTTTCATCCATTCTGGTGAGATGTATTTTGCTAAGCTGCATGCGTATTAACAATATGCCGAGTGTTAATATGCATAGGCTTTTGTGGCCAATGCTGCGATTGATAACTGGTGCAAAATTGTCATTTTCTGGCTTTTCAATGTAATCGGTTTCGTAAAACTAAATTGGCACATTTGCCCACGCGATAACTTGATTTTGTTTGGCAATTTTTACGAATAACATGAAACCCCCCTGTAATAAATTGGCACGTTCTGTTTACGTGACGACAACCTTACTAATTGTGGCTGTATCAGGTGGAGGTGGGGGTACAACACGTTTACACGATCTAACCCAAAACTAACATTACCACAGATGAACAAGACGCGTGTCAAAATGACTGTTTGGAAAATGGATCTTTCGTTACGTCTTCCCCACGTTACCGCGCACGCTTGCGCTAGTTCAACTGTCGGTCGTGCAGAGTACAATAAAGAGTTATTGGTCCGAAGTTAAACCGTACTGAGAACGGGGTGGTTGGGGGGGGGTGGCGTATTGTACAGGTATGGCAAGTGGACTGGAGGAGGGTAGCGTTTGCTGGTTGCAATTAAATCAATTGTGGACAAAAACATTGTGGGTAGGGGTGAAACACATTTACAGCTGGTATATATACACACACATACTTGCCTCTGGCCAGCTCGCCCGAACGCAGTGGCCGACCTTCAAAGACGAACCCCTTGTTATTTATTAAATTAAACAAAAAAACAACGATAACTCCCAAAACTAAAAAAAAACTAATTGCAAATGACTAAGAACCATCTTATATGACTTCAAGACCGTGATGCGAGGCGGTGGGCCCTGCCACTTGGGACTTGCTTCCAAATGTCCCGAATACTGCTGTGCCTTTCACGCATTAGTCCTTAAGTAATTCAGACACTTTGCATAGCCGATACTGCCTTAATACGATGGGGTTTGTCTAAAGTAGGGATGAATCACTTGACATACATGCTTAAACTTGACAATACACCAGTGAGCATTAATACTATCTTTCCTGGGTGTTTTTAATTTATAGCTTCTTGAAGACTTCAATAAGGGTTAAACATGTATTATTGTGCTTGTTGCTTTTCAGTATTGTATCATCTTAAGAGTAAGAAAAAATACACAAAGCATGTGCTTAGGGGGACAATAGTAATAATATTATTCTAAGTAATACAAAGTTGAGTAAAGACATGGGAGATAATTTGTTTAATCTTCACGCCAGCGGAACGCTTGAACAAAAGTGAGTACGGTGCAGTGCTGGGGGGGATCGTCGTCGTAGTTATCGTCAGCTGGTTTCTTCGAGTGCTGCAGGGTTTGCGATTTTTTTGTTTGCTTTTCCATTGCATTGGGAAAGGAATCACTGCCAGACGTTAAGTTGCATTAAGCCAGCTAAGTTAACTGCCGTGTATCTGAAAGAACCATAAAGCGCACTGATAGCAAAGGGGGATTTATCCTCGGTTAAAGCCTTTGTTCACATTTTAATAACAAAACGAGAACTTTATTTTTTTCGTTTTAATCTTAGGGGGTTGTACTTCTGGGTATTAATATGCGCATAGGCTTTTAATTTAAACTCAATAAGTGTGTAACGCGAGCGAGTGTTTTCCTTTATAGCCAGCAGTTACATGCAGGTGTTTATTTACACTTAGGTCTTGGTTAGTTTAACCATTCCATCAGATCCCTCATGAGCACTTTGTGAATACTTGGTTGAGAAGAGGAGGAGGAGCGGGGTGGGTTCATTGGTCCAGCGGAAATGCTTGATGCATGCGGGTTTTAAGAAAAGTGGGGAGAATTTATTTTTTTTTCGTAACAATTTCAATTGTAATAATTGAAAAGTAAGGAAAGTAATTTAAAGGTAACGGTGCGGACTCGTCAATAAGAAAGACATTCCATTAGTTGTGGTCCCTAGTGCATTCCCAGGTTTTGCGGGGGGGGGGGGGGGGGGTGTCAGATCGGATCGTAAGATTCGGGGCAGCGTTGTCTGCTTCGCAGAACCCTCCTGCGAGATCAAATGCTGTAATCGAGAAGTTTAAATGTCTGCGTACAGCACCACAATAGATGCAAGGAAGGAACAAATTTTTTTTTTAAGTGGGTTATTAATTTTGTTGGTTCAGTCTACTTGAAAATTATGATCGTGTAATTTTTTTATTATCACAATTTCCGCAATTTATTTTGACATTTCAGTTTTGTATGTATGAATTGATTTCCCCCCCCCCCCTGCCCTCTCCCTCTCCTACCCCCGTCCTTAATTCTAGTTGTCTCGTGACTTCGTTTTTGTTTTGCACATGTCAAAAAAAAGGTAATCTGTCGAAACGGGGGAGCGTGGGGGGTGGGGGGTGCGCAATTGGGGCTGAGAAATGAATGAGGGATGAAGGCAATGGCACTGCCTACTGAGATGATTGTATACAGTGGAGGGAGGAGAGAGCTCCTAAGACATTAGCTGCTACAGAGTGCTTCAGTTGAATTATTACGTTTATGTGTCGTAATAACTAAAAAGAGAAAAAAAAGACAAAAACTAAAAAAAAACTGAAACGATACAATGCCGTATTGTTTTAAAACGTGTGCTGCTAAGTTTTATGTACTTTTTTTTTAACTGTATATTATTTTACCGCTTTATTTGGAGAAAAAGAGCTTCGTATTTTATTGTTTTGGGGCTCGGCTGTTTTTGTTGTCTTCTTTCAGTTTGGAATTTATATTCATTATTTTTTTTTGGACAATGGACATGTATTTTTCTGGACTTATTCCACGATCACATACCTCATTGCACCCGCAACAGAAGAATAGCAAAATGGTCTTCATTTTCTACAGTACCTCAAGGACTCAGCGTTTGGAATTATTTTTCTTCATAATAAAGGTTTTTGGGTTAGATCGCGTTATTTATAAATGTGTCGTAACCCTCCATCATTCTGGCGAATTGCCCGATGATGCTGTATGTAATTACCAGCAAAACGTCGTACTCAAACTATTAATGTTGTGGATTCACTCTTCAACACACCGGTGGGCTAAAGTAGTGAACTATTTGTCTTGTCAACGTGACACTTTTTTGCTGATTGGCCGTATCGGGTGGTGGAGGGTTATGACACATTTATAAATAACGCGATCTAACCCAAAAACCTTTATTATGAATAATATTGGTCGCGAAAGCCTCCTACGTGTTAAACTGATTTTTCTTCTTCTCACTCTCCTCTGGCAATGGCTCGATCATTTTTCTCGCATCTTTGGCCGTCGATGGGTAGAGGGCGACTGCCGCCTGCGTGGATTGGTGCGGCTGCGTCCGTCCGTGTGTGTGTGTGTCGTGGGGGGGGGGGGGGCGAGGAAGAGGGTGGCACAATCGGCTTTTTGCCTTCAACTAAATCGAAACTACTTTAATTGTACCAGATAAAGAGGCCCCCCACTGAGCTTTGTAGCTATTTTTCAGAAGCGACCTGGTCACAAATGATAGCTCAACGAAAAGTGGCTTATCGTCGCGTGGAAACGTACAGAGGCCAAATATTCGCAAGCGCACGTTGATTCTAAATGTGGAGGGGGAAAAAAACCCGGAGGACCCCGATTTAAAATCCACGCCCACGAGGAGAAACTTGCAAGCTCCAAATATACAGCAGGCGTCGGGGTAGGGATTGAGAACCCAAGACCTCCTGTATATCAGGCGAGGTCGTTAACATCTCGCTACCCTGGCGCTATAGTGGATTGGCAAGAAAGGCTGTACACGTACACAAACCAATCGTCTGCTTTGGAAATAAAGCTATTTAATTTACAAATGTCGACCACCACGCTCTCGCAAATTAAGAAAAAAAATTCCCCCGGTTGATTTGGCTGTTGTCATTGTTCCTTATTGCAAGTGGGATTATGCGGTTTGCCCCAATACCAACTCAAAAAAATAAGTTTCTAGTTATTGCTTATTAAACTTGACTGAAAGTGAACTTTTGCAACTCGCACAACCATTCCTGGACAATTGTTCCATTGGTGTGAGATTATATTTGAAATAGAATAAAATATAGGCATCCTTTAAATCAAGATCATTCTTGAGTTGGACATTACAGTATTTTAAATCCTGAGCGTTGTACAAATAGTATTTTCTGAACCTGAAGTTTTAATGTAGACAGGTTCTAATTGAGTGAAAACTAAACCCCATGATGCAACATTTTGTAAAGCGAAATTGAGTTGAGCGTACAGGCACAATTACTGGGAAAAAAAATAAAAGCAATCCTAATATCTTAACTTTTTATGTTTTAAGAAAACTACATTTGAGAGTGGATGCGACTCTTTAATAACTGTAGACCACAACACCCAATATCGACCACGGCTGGCTCATTAATAAGTCAGCTATGCAGCCCCGCGTTGTATAATTGATCCGGTATTAGCCGTTTGATGCTCAAATACATTGAAGAGTTGCATTGGTGAGTGGGTGTGGTGTGGTCAGGTATTGGGGGCAATTGTTTATCCCAAATTTGCAAACGTTGCACCCTTGTTGGTCGTGGCGCTTGCAACATTGTGTACAGCCACTGGTTTTCAAATTTTCGGGTTCACCCTTCGGTGCGCATGGGAGGGAGCTCGTTTACCTCTGACGCGGTCTTCCTCCAAAGTGCTCCAATGTGATCGGCGTAAATAGAAAAAGGATGAGTCGCTTCAGTGACGGTCTAGAAACTATGTTGATGGAAATCTTTTCCCAACAAGGTCCTTTTAAAAAAAAAAAACATTTCAGTCAAGTTTCAATTTCATCCTTTTTTTAAACTTTTTTTTTTTAATCCTTGCTCAACCTGATATTCACAAGTAACAACTGCAATTAACCAACATAACCAGACGAGGAATTTGAAGAAAAAAAGTACACTTTTGGTAGTGGCGGGGAAACAACGTTTCATTAACGTTTGAACCGAACGTACCGTTACAGGCAAGTGCCTCGGGATTGGCCGGTGCGCCGATGTGCCGCTTGAAGTGTTGTCTAGTAACACTCTTGGGACCTTGACCTGAAGGTGGGGTTGGGGCTCATGGTCCCCTTCCTCTGCGTTCAACAAGGAGCGATGCATCGGCATTTGAAAGCCACCGCCACTGGCTGCCTTGTGCGGAGTCGGCAGTGTTGTGTGCGCGCGTGCAGCTGGCTTAACTAATGCCTCAAAAAAACCCACACCGCCTTTCAGGATGTTCCACACCCCCCCCCCCCCCCCCCCCCCCCAGTCCGTTCATATGTACAGTACCTCGCTTGTGAATTTGTAGAGCTATCTCTCCTTTCCCTTTTTTTGTTTTGTGTTTAAATGTTTCAACGCTTGATAAGATGGGAGTTGGGAGGTCTGTTGTGGAGGGGAGTGGATAGAGGAGTAGGAGGGGGGTGGACTTTTCAAGCCTCGCTTCTGTCCGTGTGCTAAAAAAATATTTTATGCAGTAAAAAAAGGCTAAAAAAATTGTGTTTTCCCCCCCCCCCTCTCCTCCCTGTCGATGAGTGCGAGACGAGCGTGGCGCGGGCCCTCCGTCCCTCCCGCTTTCAGGCTGTGCATTCTCTCAGTCGATGTTTGGTGACCTTGTTGTGAGAGGATTATGGGTGTTCTGACTGTAAAGTGTACAATTGTATGTATCTCTTTGCTGCTTCTTTTTTTTTTAGACTGAATTGTGCTTGTGTATGCCAACAAAAAATAAGAATCAATAAACATTTCTTAATATAACGCCCTTGCCCGGATTTGTACATTCTTGATGTCAGCGGTATGAATATGCACGGCCCATTTTTCAGTCTTCCTGATGGGTGAACCCTCTCCCACGCCGTGTTTGACCATACTTCTCCACTCTGGTCCTTGCATGTTGGCGAATGGGGGTTGGTACATGGGTGGTTGGCACTCAGGACCGGTTAAGATCCTTTAAGATGTGAACATCTTTTAGAGATGTTAGCTTAGGCCGGGAATTGAACTATGGAGGCCAAATTCATCGCCCAATGTGTAAACTGCTGCGCTCCCCCTCCACCTACGAGTTTATTTTTACTGGTAGGAAACGTAGTGGACTGGAAGCCCAACCGGGATTAATTCACAGGAGGCAGGGGATTAATTGTGTATGTCTGTGGATGTCTGTCCACGTGTATCCGGACACCCGGATATATAACAAATGCGCTCCTAGTGGGCATTACTGGTAGGAAACGTAGTGGACTGGAAGCCCAACCGGGATTAATTCTCACAGGAGGCAGGAGATTAATTGTGGATGTCTGGATGTCTGTCCACGTGTATCCGGACATTCGGATATAAAAAATGGGAGGGGTGGGGATGAGTGGAGAGGGGAGGGTACGGAGGGGCTGGGTGGGTAGGGGTGGGAGGGGTGGGGCTTGAGTGGGGTGGGGCTGGGTGGGGAGGGGCTGGTCACCCCGTGGTGCCCTTATAAAACTCAACGTTTAACCTACTCACGAAGGCTTGTGCCCACCCTCACAGTCGGGCATATTTGCGGAATACACCACGTGGTGGTGCCGCCGTTGGCCCTGGCCACTGACCGAGCCAATCCAACGTTCCTACGAGCCCCCTCCGCAGGAATGTGTTAAAAGCCCATTCTAAATTTCAGTCATTCGGTTTAGAGAGTTTGGCAAATCTGCTTAATTCATTAACCATGACCTGCAAAACACCGGATTAAACGCGTGCAACATCAAACCAGTCGTGTTTTCATCATTGCTGCTTCCCCGTGCCACACCCCCGATGAGCTCGGTTGACTCCGTAGGGTGCGAAAGTATATCTGTACTGTATGTTGAACTTTTGCACCGTACGTAGCCAACCGTGATAATTGGAGGTGTGGTGGGAAGGATAACAGAAGTTCGACATGCAAACATCTTCACAATTTATGTTTTAAGAGGCCTATCATACGACCAGAATGGGCTATTTATCTTGATTTGAAAGCTTTCGTGACTGCAGGAATCCATACTCTTTGGTTCTTTCGGTAAAGTCACGTAGGTAGAAAATAAATCACACCTACCTACGTGACTTTACCGAAAGGACCAATGAGTATGGGCTATGTACGTATGTTGAACTTCTTTTGCACCGTACGTAGCCAACCGTGCTATTCGGTGACATGTACAAGGCAGACCAATGTTATGGATACACATTGTGCCTTCGCGTGAAGGCTTTTTTAAAATGGTTTTGCGACCTTTCGCCATGCAGAAAAAAAAATTCCCGTCC